GTTATTTCCCTTGCCGTTGATATGCAGAATGTAAACAAACCGCAATTTCCCACTCGCTTCAACAAAACGCATCCGATCGAGTGATTAGGGTTAGGTTAAATATTATTTAAAGTTGGGGTTGTTTTATAAATCCACTCTGTAATCTTTCTGACTTTGGGCTTATTCATGTCATTTTTGCGTACAAAAGGCACTATGAGTGCCTTTTGTGACCAAAAACTTGCATGAATCAGCCTGTCGAATCGCGCCGATATCTTACACTTTGGTTTAGTTCACGAAATTTTTGCTTTACAAAGAACAGGAAAGTTTAAGAAATGAAAGTTCGGGTAAATCAACTCTATTGTCGAAACATAACGATTTTCAGCGCTGAGTTTAGGCAAGTCATTGTAAAAGCGACTTACCGTTTACTGCAGCTCGATATCCTGACCTCCTAATCATGTCCAAATATTCAGAATATTTTTCCTTTCAAATCGATAATGATGCACAATTCAATCCATCGATGACCAGTAATTAGCCAACATTTGTTAAATCCCTGTATTTCTCACAAAAATCACGCAATTTTAATAGCATTGGACTTTGAGTCCTATCAGGCATTTCTTCATTACGTCAACACATAAGTGACGCAACTCATGAATATTTATGAGATTACGTCAAAAATTGATCATGTGACTACATTCCTAAACAACGCAAGATGGGGATTTACTTCCTAAACAAGTACGTTATTTTACGAAATCTTTTAATTCTCATTTAAAAAACTGTGTTTAAAAACCAGTTTTTAAACCCATTTTTTCACAAGGAACACGAATTTGGGGTCAAATTTGCAATTTGTGGCTTCTTTTTCGATTTTGTCGATCGCTCACGCGATCGTCTATATATTGTACACCGCCTTCGGCGGCACCTATTTTAGCGCCATATTTATGGGGACCGGTATACTAGAAGTGTTCCAGATCTAGTACATGTGTACATTTAGTTTTCTTTTGAACGTGAACTAATGCGTTTTAAACTTAAACGTTTCAGTCAATATACACATATTCTCACCTGCTAATACCAAAGGCATGTCCGTATTATTTGATTCATTGGTGTGAGGATCTTCGTCGTGAAATAATTCAGATTTCGGATCATGTTTTTGTTTACAGCTATCACAGCGGAAACACGTGTTTATTTCAATTCGTATCAACTCATACAGTGATGAGTCGTATTTATTTATAAATACGAGTTTTTGTATTGTTAAATATAGATCTAATTAAATTGCAAATTAATAAGTATACAGTATAACAAGATACAACAATATTAAAATCTGATTGATTTTTTTAGTAAAGATCGACGTTTTGGAAATCTACAATTTTTATCAATATTGTATATCACTTCATGAAAAATACATCATTAGGGCCTACATGTAGATGAATAAATCAACATTCACTGAACACGAAAGGCAGAACGAAAGTATAATTTGTTTTTTGAAATCTGTTTTTTTTTTTTTATTTTATTTTGTATTATGCATTTATTTCAGTAAAAAAATATATTTAAATGGTCAAAAAAGTCTTATAAAAGAGTTTGTTTTTTCGAGTAAGACGCAACAATATCGACCTTGACGTTACATGTAAATATTGACCGATTTTCCATAAAAACTATGCGAAGGTCACAAATTATCGTAATTAAGAAAATACTGAGCGTAAGAAGGCCTATAAGGGCTTGTTGGAAAGGAAATTATCTCTACTTTTACCAGCTTTATTTTGTTTTCCCTATTTCAACACAGAAATAAACGTAAAACTGAGTTTTGTTTAAATATTACGAATAAAATCGAGAAAAAACACATAAGTGCAAGAAAATTCTTGTTTTTAAGATATACCTTAAAGTAATAACAATAATTTTTACATATTTTAAAAGTAGAGAAAATATGCTTTAAGAATATACCATGCTTTCTTACAAAGTTAATGAGAAAAAAAATTGTCAATCGTCTGGAAAATCGGCAATCGCTTTGGAAAATTACGCCATTTTCAAAAAGTCTCGTTTGTCTTTACAACGTAAAATCGATTAAATACCGGCAATCAAGATATAATCTTTTTAGATATTTTAAAAGTAGAAAAAATTTCCAAAAAGATGATATATAGCTTATATACCTTCATGCTACCACAAAATAGATTGTTTTCGCGAAGTCGTGTTTTAACGCGCCACCGGTCAATTTGGGGTGTTGCTAAAACGCGGAACGGAAAACGGAACGGAAAGCGGAACGGAACGGAAAACGGAATCTATTAGGGTGAGAATGTGAACTTGAACGAACATTTCCATAGTAAAAAGGTTATGACTGGAGGGGGGGGGCAAATATTTGATATCTAAACGAACCATGGAAAGAGAAGAAAATGTTAAAAAAATATAAAGATAGGGCAAACCTTTACGGCGAGCTCGAATAGACAACTCTTATACACAATGGTTGTTAAAATTTCATTCAAAATAGAGTCCTTCTCTGGATAGACAAAGTTGTGGTAGATAATGCAGATTGCAGAATCTTTGCATTCATTGAAGTTAAATTTTGTTTGTTTGCGGCACATATGTGTGCATGTTGGGGGGGGGCGTAGATGAATGACCCCGTAAAAATGAGTTTGTTTTCCCGCTCAGCGCAAGGTCTTAGAAGTTGTATTAGGTCTGCCCCCTTTTTTGTGTCCAAAATGTACATAAGTTTTAATAAATCAATTTTTAATTTGGCTGTGGGACCTACACAGACCCGAAACTACCATCCCCCTTTCATGACTCGCGAATTCGACACTGCGTGCGTAATCTGAATAGCATGACTAGTTATTTTTGTCTTTTCAGACATTGGCATTGGAAACAAATTGAAAGAGGGATGGGGGTCAGAAAAAAATTTCAATATACAACAAATTTGACAAGCAAAAAAAGGGGAATACTAGTATGTCCTTTGCCTAGCCTGGTTCCCTGTCCCTGTTTTGCTTCGTATACTCCGCGTCACTGCCGTGGCAAGGATGAGACAGGGGACCAAGCTAGTCCTTTGCCCCAACACGAAAATCCTATTTCGTGTGTGTGTGGGGGGGGGGGGGGTCTTTCAGTAGCATTTTTTCCACGGAGGGTGTGTATGACTCATGAATATATAATAATAGTTTACAATAATTTTTTATTAGAAATGACTTTTACAACAAGAATATTGCTCTTTTATCTGATTTATATTGAATCTATGTTATTTGTTTGACGTAAAATTTTCCGTTTTCCGTTCCGTTCCGCTTTCCGTTCCGTTTTCCGTTCCGCGTTTTAGCAACACCCGTCAATTTGACCGATACGGAAGTGAAGGGGTTAAACTGTCAGATATTTACATGTGAATTTTCAGTTTCAGTTACAATGTATGTTCTATTTCACTTAATATTTTACCCAAATTTTCCAGTATCAATGTAACTTACTGATTTAAAGTAACAAAAAGGTTGTCTTTATTGAAAGTATTACACAAATTTGCAATAGATCAATTGAAAATTCTAAAATAAGGCTCATTCTCAAGTCGAATGTCTGATTTCGCAATCTTTTTCCAGGGGTCTGATAGGCCATATTTCAGACTATGTGGGCAAAAAATGTGCGGTTGAATTTCTTTCATATCATTATGAAGAGAGATTTTGTATCCAAGAAACAAATCTCAAAGTTTCAGAAAAATTGAATTTGAGGAAAATTTTGACCTATCTATTTGGTCCTACCTTAATTGACCGATAACAATGCCGTTGAGCATGCGTAGAACAATAGGGACTTTGTTGTTCAAAAAAGCAAATTTGCTTTTAAATTTGACAAGAATATTAAAAAAAAATATCAACAGCAAAACCAAATTTTGATTGTTTTATGAAAGATTTTCAATTAGTTCGCGATCTTTTTGTTCTCCCTTCATACATGTACATGAAAATATCATCAATGTTATCGAAGATATGATCAATAAAAATAATGATTTTTAGAATCCATACAAAATATTTTTGGAAAAAAAGATTCATAAAAATAGCATGATATTCATGTTACAGCTTTTACAACAATTCTTGCATATAATTCTTTAAAGCAATTTGAACTTCATGTAAAGTTTTCAAATTTCTTTTTTTTTCGGTCTACCCATAGTCATTGCTTGATAGGTCGATGATACTCCTCTTTTTTCTCAATAATTAGATATTCTTCAAAACTTTTGAACACATCTTCTTTCTTGTACAGCAAAAATACTTGAGATTACGTATCTCGTGAATAATATACATAATAAGCAAACAACATACTACTGTACCAATAATTGAAATAGTGACGGCACGTTTGCGAATTTCTTGCGAGCATCTGTTGAGCTCCTCCAAGGTGTGCAATTTTTGCCTGTAATTATCATGAATCTAATGGAATAACAAGTTTGCCTATTTAAAAAAAAAGCTTACAATCAATGACAAGCATGTTTTAGATTTTTTAAGATAATCACTAACAGATAAGTTTCTGTTTTAAATCAATAAATACTTCCTTGATCTACATCAAAACAGGGCTTACCTCGTGGTTCGCGACATCCATCCTTGAAATCACATTCTTCGGGCAAGCAATCGCGAATTCCCGCACATAATTTTCCATACATCTTTTCTGGACAAGGAACAAGAAAGTTTTTCCCAAAATAACCCTAGGGACATTCTACATGAAAAAAATCAGTACACAAGATACATTTTCTCATAAAATTTTTATGAACTGTTTTATAAAAACACTTAACTTCAAATTTAATATATTAGCAAGTTTTTACTAAATACTATCGAATTGCGCTAGGTTATCAACATTAAAATAAAACAATATTAAATTAGAAACCTAGGCAGGCGCTTCCAACTCTTTGATAATTTGAAGAACAGTCTTCAAAACCAACTCTAAAATTTAAAAGAAAATACATAAATAATAAGTCCTAGTTAATCATCGACATTTAAAAAAAATTCTATGAATTCTAAATCAAAACTCACACCAGTTTTGAGAAAAGCATATTACTGAATATGAAAGTCAATCCAGTCCAGAAGATATTTAAAGCCATTGGTATTTAAAAAAGAAACAACCTTCAAAACCAATTTAATGTTATAAACTTAAACCCAATGATCAAGGAAATACAATCAATTTCGTGATTTTCCTGTAATTATGCAACCCCTTATTCTCAACTTATAACCTAAAATACATTCTATTTCAACTTAAAATTCAGCACTTATAAAATTTCCGTTGCAGAAATTACAAAAAATCTTTTTGATATACAGTTATGATGCCATTTTTAGAAAATGTAACCTTTCATTTGGTTGTATTTTGTCTGATTTGCTTTATACCAATTGTTAGGTTTTTTTTATCAAAAAGTTACATGTCAAGTTACATAATAAGATTTTTAAACACATTCACACTACCCCTCTGATTTTAAAAAAAGAATGAAATATTAAATAAACAGTATTTCATTCAAGAAATATGTCAAGTTTGTGTTTCAATAAATGTTTATAACTCAAAAACCATAGATTTTAAAAATTGTTCATTATAATTTTTTGAATTGCTATGCATTTTTCTACTTTGTACTTAAAAGTTAAATGATGTAGCAGCCCATTAATCATAGGTATCTTGTTCTGCTTTAAACAAGAGAAAATATATTGTTTTGTATATAAAATAATGATATTTATCACCCAATTATAATAAGAAATGGCATTTCACCTAAAATAATATTGCAAGTGTTAAATCCAACTCTTTTAGAAGGTTTTGTAAATATGTGCATGCTAAGATTACTCCAAAGTGAAGAATTGTTGTACAATACAAATATATATCGGTATTGTTTTCATATCCTGTTTACAAACGCAAACATTAGACGAATGAAATCTATTTCCAAAATCATTAAAAAAAATGTCCTTCATTGTCTAAGAAATCACAAACACGTTTAACACCATTTATATACCAAGATTTTTCATAAATAAATTGTTTCCCATTTTATATTGGGATTGCACCACACAGGTAAGTTCAGATATTTAGTTTTCATATATGAAGTGTTGTTGATTGTTTTCATGAAACATAACCATGAATTAAACACATCTTTCTAAAAATTGTTGCTATTTTTTAAAATAGAGCAAGACAAAAACTCTTCACCAAAATCAAAAGCTTTATAAGTATAAGGATATGGAAATAACGAACAGTATTCAATCTCAACGTCCATTAAACAAATATACAAAACAAGAGCAGAGCAAACACGGACCTCCGAAACATCAGAGGTGGGATCAGGTGCCATGGAGGAGTGAGCATCCCCTGCTGACCGGTCACACCCGCCGTGTGCTCATTGTCATAATCAGGAAATAACGGAAAAAATCCGTAGTCAATTCAGTGTATAAATAATGGACTAACAATTGGTATGAAAAACGTCAGTCAGCATTTCATTCAATGATAAATTGTATTTGCTGACAAGGTCATTGTATCGACCATAGAATTTACGAAATGATGACTTTAAACGAGACTGTTGATATTCTTGTTTCATCAACTTGCTTGTCAATAATTTACCTCGTTTAAGAAATTGTTCATACGTAGAGCATGCTCTTGCGTATCGAATCAACTGAGATATAAATACTCCGTATGCAGGTGATGAAGGTATATTGCTGCATAAGTAAGGGAAGTTGACGATAGAAAAGTTAAAGTCATCACGTTTATCATATAGCTTGGTTGTTAGATTACCATTTGTGTCTTTTTCAAGTAAAATATCCAAGTATGAAGCAGATGTGTTGGACTCTGTAATATGTCTTTACCATTAATTGCCAAAAAATATCTAACCATGGTTGATTGCTTTTTGTTTATCTTTTAATCCAGGAGCATTTAAGAGATGTGATAAAGATATTTATATCCACATTTTTAATACTCCTTGTACAAAATCCTGAGTAATAATTTCCCTTTTAATTTTATCCCATTTTGATTTCCATATAAACTCAAAGATTTCTTTGTTCAATAGTGATAAAAAATCTTTAATTGGATTTGGAAAAGATATAAAAAGATTGTAAAGTTTGGGTAAAACTAATGATTTAAGAACTATAACTCTGCAAATAGGAGTAAGAACCATTTTTTTCCATTGTTGAATTAATGCTTTGATCTTTGGTATGTGAACATTGTAGTTTATATCAATAATTTTATCTAGTTCTATTGAAAAATTAATTCCAAGTAAATTGAACGTTGTACAACCCCATTCAAGTTTCCAACAAGAATGGTGGAAAACCTGATTTGAGAATTTTTTTGAACTTATCCAAACAATTTTAGTTTTTGAGCTGTTTTTTTTAAGTCCTGTAAACTTTGAGAAAAAATCTATTGTATCTAATGCTGCAAAAAGTGATTTAGGTGAACCGTCAAGGGCAAGCCAGTTATCATCCTCATATTGGGATATTTTATGTTCTATTTTGTCAATAACAATAATTATGACGTATTGAAAGCCATGGCAAACTTGTTTTAAGACCGCGGAACATTAACGGACAAGATTGGAAATATACAGCTTACAGGAAATAAATAAGAAAGTTGTCAAAAATTTTGATTGCAAACAAAACTAAAAAAGCTCATGTCATCCTAAAAGTTAATTGGAACAAAACATGATCAGAGTCGACAATTTTTTACCCACCCACCCCCACACCCACCCCTCCATCCCTCTCAAATTGCCGTCTCCTGAGAAAAATAACTTCTGTGACTTTTACCAGTGACCTTAATTATCATTATATTATAGGCTATAAACTCATATCAATATAAATTTGAACCAACATGTATTTGGGAATTGAAACCATGGATCATACATTCACACTCTGCTTTTGAATACAGCTGGAATGAATTTCAAACTAGAATTTCAGTCCAATGCTTTCTCGGCCGTCCGCATCGAATTGTACCCGCTTATTTCATTGTCTATCTTTGAATATTTTGATTGTAACAGATAGAAATGATAAGCTGTATATATCCAATCTTGCCAGTTAATGTTAATACGTTTACATTGCTATTCCAATAGATTGTTAAAAGATTGTTAAAAGACATGGACTTCACAGCTACATAATAGATATTGTCAATCAAATCTCGAGCATCATTAATTTTTAGTATCAACTTTAATGTGTATGTACTTAAAGTCAACAAGATTCAAATAAGGAAAATATTCGACATTTGTAATTTCTTGAATTCTTGAATTCTATTTCATTTAAAAACAATTTAACCATGCAGGATTTTGTCATCGTTTCAAATTTAATTCTGGCACAAAAATTGGGTAAAGTTATTTATATTCGTGGTCTTTTTGCGACCAAATTCGCAAAGAAACCTTGAAATAAATTGAACAACACACTGCACCTGTGAATCAATATACACTGTAAAGTTCAAATTCTGGTAGGTCATATAAGACACACGATTTTTTTGTGCTAGTGTAATATTAGGTGCATGGGTAACAGAAGAACTATTTAAGTATGAACTAATCGATACTTAAAATCTCCATTGTAATTATCGTGTAGTTTAAAATAGTGTTCAGCGAGGACTAGAAGATAATTGAGTGTGCAAGCCAAATAATGTACCTTAATTAGAGCGCGTTAATAGTTTAGCATTAGAAACTGACAACGCTACATTTTGAGGTTTAGAGGTTTATCTAATTAATAAATTTGCATGCTTATTGTACTGAAAATGACAATCTTACTGTGGCGATGACCATGCTGATGTTTTTACTCTTGCGGAACTATGGCACTGTTTTTTCTAATGTGGCGCTAAGGAATTTAACTGTGGCGGGGCTGCAAGAAGAACCCTGGTTTAGCCTTATCTAAAACAAAAATCCTAGTCTGTCATATATTATGGGAATGGTAAATTAAACATTGAAACTCGTAAATGTAGATGCCGTTGATTTTAGTAAACATTGGTAAAATGTTTTGATTCCATTTTTTTTAAGTACCATAAGGGTTCAAATTTTTTTTTATTATTTATGAATTTAGGAAGCAAGTTAATGAATGTAAAAAAAAATATTACAATTAAAAAGTTTTGAGCAACAAATAATGAATTTTACTGATATATGTTGGACTTATGTAAACTTTGTGGATTTGGTTATTAGGAGAGTCCATCAATGGCAATCAATTTTCAGAACATACTGTTCGTTAAATAGGTTAATGTGCATGAAATATTAAGTTTAAACTTGAAAACGAAACACCTTTATTGATTTTTTAGGCTTCTAAAATGTGCTTTTATGCTTACTGATCTCTACCTAAAATGACTAAGTTTCAGATTATACTGATAAATATTCGTTTTAAAAATAGATGAAGTTTGTATTAAGTTTTTAAAGTTTCTGGGAATATTGGTTGGCAAAAAAAACACAAAAAAAAACAGCAATTAATCATAAAAAGAATAATGATCAGCACACGTAAAACAATGAATTATGTTAAAGAGTGACAGATCTGGCGAATGATATTATGTGACAAGATATAAACTTTCCTTTTATCCCAAAAACTTCTTTACTCCTCATGGTGTGTGGGTTAAGATGCTGCCATGAAGAAATTTTATGTAGTGCATTCCTGGTTCTAGTTCCTTCCTCTCAAAACCCTATTGATTTTTTGGTTGGGGGGGGGTTGCTTTCTAGACTCCTTCAGAAATTGAACTGCCTTCCCAAATAAGATATTTGAACTTCAAGACCACTAACATTTTAGAAAATGGAATATAAAACTGTCTATATCCTCTAGTAATTCTTTGCTCTTTTAAGACCTTTGCTGTTTTTGTCAAGTGCATCTTATTGTAACAATGTTTTGAGAAGTTTTTAAAGTGAATCAAACATCATAAGTGATAATTTATTGAATTAGGCAAGCAGAACATTGTTTGTTCTATGTCCTTGTCGCTAAGGACGGTACCCATTTTTGATGCCCAATATATTATTATTATTTATTGAAACTTGCTCATGTGTCTATAAAACAGGCATTGATTGCTGTAAATTTCACAAATTTCAGTAAATATGTCTTTAGGATTCTTATCAAGTTTTACAGCAGCTTAAATGGAGCATTTTATTTCACTCTAGTTTACTGATTGATTCATTACTATTCAATTTTGATACAGTGTCTCGAATAGCCCTTTTTACAGCTTCTCACAGTTAAAATATGAGATGGAAAGTCAGATCACAAAATAATTATCAATTCATTAAAGATTCAATCATGAGAGAAAGTAAAGCTTAATGCCTTATCATATCTGTGTCGTATGTCACAGATTTCAGGACATTATTTTGAACAGCCCTTGTATACAGAGGAAATTGCAACAAAAAACCAAATTCTTTATATGACACAAATTGCACTCGATCTCAATTATAATTCAATAATTGATTCCATTATACAAATACAAGGATGATTTCTAATGACATAATACTGATCAAAAGAGAGGGAATCAAACGAACTTTAAACCCGGTTCAATTTTTTGTTAAAACACGCGCGTACGTGGAGATAACAAATAATTTTTACGCTCAACGGTCCATTTAAACAATATAAATCAGGATCAAGACAAACATTAACCTGTTCAACATCATGTTGGATCAGGTGCCATGGAGGAGTGAGCATCCCCTACCAGCCGGTCACAACCGCCGTGATCAATTAGAAAAATACAAAATATACCCGTTTCAATCATGACAGTTGGCCTACTAGACACAAAATTCTTCTTTGTACATGTATAATTGTAAAAAAAAAAATATTTAGTAAACAAAAGATTCAACTATGAAATGTAATCCATTTCAAAATAAAGGGAATTTATATGTCATCTAATTAGTATTGCAATCGCTACTGTACATATCACTGTGATACCGACTTGATAACACCAGAAAAACATGTAAAAGGAGTATTGTTACTATTAATATTTTTCTTTTCTTTTGTAGTTACTATTCAACAGGTAAGCAAATCATTGTCTTCATTTTTTACTATTAGTATATTCTTATGTATGCCTACATGTTCGTATGTCAATTCTACCATTAAAAATCACGCATATAACATGTGTAACGTCCTCGCGATCGAATCTCTCTCTCTCTCTCTCTCTCTCTCTCTCTCTCTCTCTCTCTCTCTTCAAACAAAATTATATAAGATGTGTGAACAAGTTGTTAAACTTATAGTTAGTTAAAAGATATTTATCAAACGTGTTTGAATTTTTTTTATTTCCAATAAATAGTATTTATTTTAAATTTTCCATCCCTTTCAAGAATTTTAAAAATCTTTTTAGAGCACTCTGCGATGTCCTTCTTTAAAAAAAAATATAAATCAATTATTGTAAAAGATAATAGTTTTAAAATCAATATTTTCTGTTAGCTTTGTTGATAATCAAAATATCTTAAACTTGTTCAGCATTTATAACGTCTTTGAAGATCTTGTGTAAAGAGCGTAATAAGGGCGTGTATTAGATTACCAGAGGTTCAATAGTGTTGCATAAAGCTTTTATGAGGTGTTGTTGATACTGCTGGCAATTACGTTTCTGCCAAAAAAAAGTTCACAGTTTCTAACAGGTTATATAAATTACGTATAGGTAACAAACAGTATAAAGCTCAGAAGTCCATTATAGAATACAAATTTTGAAGCAAAGCAAACACGGAACTATAAAACATCAGAGGTGAAATTATGTTTCATGAAGAAGTGAGCATCTACTACAGACCGGTCACATCCGCCGTGTTTTGCATGAAATGACCGAGAAAGAACAGATGAATCCGACTTCAATTTAATGTATAAATAATGACTCCTGTGATTAGTATGAAAACAGTCAACCAGCATTTAACGTAATGATAGATTGTACTTCTTGACAAGATCATCGTGTCGACCATAGAATACTAGTATACGAAATTCTGAATTAAAACAAGACTGTATTCTTGTTTCATCAACTTCTTTGTCAATAACTTACCTTATTTTAGAAATAGTTTAAGCGTAGAGCATGTTCTTGCGTATCGAATTAATTAAGAGATATAAACCTAGTATGCATGTGATGAGGGTAAATTGCTACATAAATAAGGGAAGATTATGATTCAAAAGTCATAGTTGTCTATTTAATCATAGAGCATAGTTTCTAGATTATATGTACCATTAACGTCTTTTTCTGACAAAATATTCAAATATGAAACATTTCAGTATTTGTTATATATACGTTATTTAAACAATTCATCTTTTACAAAAAGGCTGATTTACTGACTGAATAAAACATTTGCTTTTCAGACGTATCATTGTGTCATCTATCATCACATAATAAAAAATATTTTTATGCAGGTTCGTGCATTAAAAACTGTGTCTGAAATTAGTGCAAAGTTTTGTAAAGAAACGAAAGGAATGACTTGCATATTCCCGGCAAATTGCACAAATTCATGTCATGGTTCACACAATTGTCTTCAATGCAAAGTGAGGGATGGTCAGATAATCGTAAGTGTTCTTCAGTACCCATTAATATTTCTTCTCAATTTGTTCTTTCTATATGTCTGCAACACTATATATCAAACCGAGAAATCATTTCAATTTTGAAACACAACAGTTACATGTAACGTTACAATTAAATCTGGTTCTTTATAAACCATAAACCTAAAGTGGAGGAGCACTTAAGGTCTATGTTCTAACCTATAGATTAAATAAATCATAGGTAGAATCCATGTATGCTAATATTATTGCTGCTTTTCTAATATTTTTACGTTTCCAATGATGTATGCAGATTACGAACAGTATAATCCCAGATAGCAGGATGTTATTGGACCTTTGTTGGGCCAACAACGCTCCTTATGTTGGGCCACTGTTTGAATTCAACATTGGGCCATCGGTAATTTGCTCATCGGCCCTTAATCAAACCAATTGTTGGCTTATTGTTGGGCCAATGTAACAGTTAAAATTGGGCCACTGTTGGGCCATTGTATTATTTCAGTATTGGGCAAACGTCATTTTTGAACAATTGGGCCATTGTAAGCAACTAATGTTGGGCCAACGGTAATTTGCTCATCGGCCCTTAATCAAACCAACTTATTGGCTTATTGTTGGGCCAATGTAACAGTTAATATTGGGCCACTGTTGGGCCAATGTATTTTTTCAATGTTGGGCAAACGTCATTTTTGTACAGTTGGGCCATTGTAAGCAATTAATGTTGGGCCATCGGTATTTTGCTCATCGGCCCTTAATCAAACCAACTTGTTGGCTTATTGTTGGACCAACGAACGGATATCATTGAGCCATTGTTGGGCCACTTATTCTTTCAATATCAGGAAAACATCATTTTTGGGCCAACGTTGGTTTGTATCTTATTGGCTCTCCATCATGACAACTCATTTGCTCTTCACTGGTTGGCCATTTGTCCTCAAAATTGACAAACAAATATATACAATAAGGTTATACTAGTTTTGTAGTACAGTTAAATGGTAAAAGCCTTTAATACTATCTATATATGCTATATATGCTAGATTAATAGTTTAATACATATTCTCAATATTCTCATAGAATTGCCATCAACAAGTATTGCATTGTAAGTAGCTCTACATTAATTAAAAAAACTGAGAAAAAAGAAATCAAAATATAAAATTCAATTATAACATACTATAATTTTATTGCTCAGTGCTTGAAGAAAACATTAATAAAGAATTAAAAGTGGATGCTCACTTCAAGCTATACATGTAGGGTTACATGACTGTATACTCCCTCTCTGATGTAAATTATGCACAAGTTCAGTAAATTACAGGTATCAATAAGCACGTCTAACAAATAAACAAAGCCCTCCTAGCTGTTCTTAAAATAATACTAGAATGAATCCCGTCATTTTGTTTACTTACAGAAAAAAAATTTCTGGCATCTGCATCGAGTTTATAACCGACAAACAGACACAAAAAAGTAGAACTACAGGAATGTCATACTATATCACAGAAAAAAGTTAGGCACTGCCACTTTCCATCTGATCCCTCTCCTAAGTCTCCATTTCCTCTTCCCGAGTCTCCTCCTCCCCTTTCTTTTCTTCTCTGTCCGTTTCTTCCTCCCTCATCCCTGTCCTTGGCATACCTTAGCCATTCTTTGATTGTGTTCTCCATGTCTTTTTAGAATCTCCAGTAGCACTAAAATTGTAATATTAGGTACTTAATATATTTGTTACTTTTCTCAGTAAAGAGTAAACATACGATTAAATTTACAAGTATATCACTATATGTTTAAGCTGTCAATTAAGGAATAACCGTCTTTTTTGTTTCATGGTGTGATTAAGTGATTAGCTTGCGTGATGAAGGCATTTATGCATAATATTTATACGCTTGATATCATCATCAAAACAATTTTGATTCAATGTTGCCCCATATAAAATACATGTATTGAAAATTTGTCGTTACACTGAACAAATTTTAAATGAAAGAACCCAATTAATTTATAGTACTGAATAAATTTTGTTTTAACTTCAGCAAATTCAACATTTTCAAAATGTTTGATCATGTTCTCGACGTTAAGTGTATATAAGTAAATTAAGTGGTAGACTTCGGAAATGTATTCTACTAGACACAAATTTCAATTTAAATAACGAGCAAATTATTAATTGTTTTAACTGTATCAAAACACATTTTTACACTTTCATTTATTTTTCTTGTATATAAACAAAAAATTTAATCACTGATTATTTATTTTGTTTCGATAAATTATGAGAATTTAAAATTTTTTTTTTAGCTAGCTTGATTTTTCAAGTAGGATTGGTTGTAGATTTATTTCTGATTGTAGAGACGATCAGATTTGTTAATATACAGATTTGTAACAATCAAATGTTTATACACATTGGCCCAATGTTGGTCCAATATATCGGACCAACATATGACCAAGGAGCAAAATGACACTGGGCCAGCGGCATTTGCCAACATCGGCCCAATGTTCTTGTTGACGTTTCGCCAACAATGTCGCATTTATTGGGCCAATGTTGGCGCGACGTTGGGCCAATATCTGTAGAAATAACACTCTACATTGGGCCAACGTTGGCCCAACATATCGGGCCAACATTGGGTCGATGAGCAAACTTAAATTGGGTCAATGCCATTTGCCAAAATTGGCCCGATGTAACCGATTACATTGGCCCAACGTTGGCCCAATGTAAGCATGCTATCTGTACAGTGTTGACCCAACAGCACCTGGCCTCTGCATTCCCCGTGTCTGATTTACACAGATTTGTACATGATATCGTTTAAAAACTAAACGTTAATTCAGCTGTGCCGAGGCAAACATATTATTAATACTTACAAAGTGAGTGCAGATATGAAGGTATCAGTCTCATTACGCTCGTGTCAGATTAAAAATGGCGCGGATATTACAAGAAGCCCGGTTGTTGTCTACCCATGATGCTCTGTCCGATTCATGGTATATTGGGCCAACGTAGGGCCGATGCCAATCTCCAAACAAATATTTTCTCTCATGATAATAGTTTTATGATATAATGCCAACAGCAAGCCCAAAATTAGTGCACTATTATACATGACCAGCTATCAATATTCCATGTTGGGCCATTGTTGGCCCAATCAAGGTAACCCAACATAGATAATAGAACCATAATGTAAGAATTGGCCAACGGTGTTCTGCTATCTGTGTTATTACAAATAAATAAGCATATACACAATTCAAAAAATAGAATAAAACACTCTTTGGTGCTTGATCTCTTAAGTGCAAAGTTAAAATGTTGAAAATATCATATCTAAACAAAAGCAGTCATCCACTGATAAGCATGGACATAGAAAGTCCTCTCAATTATTTCAGAATGTACCAACGTTGTCCTAACGTAAAGCTCAGCAGCTAATTATAAAATTGACTCCATCAATTAGTTGGCAGTATAATAATTGGGCCAACGTTGGCCCAATATAAATATCCCATCTTTGAAGACCTAAACAAAATAACACTTGTGTGTATTACAAACAATGGGCCAACGTTGGGCCAACATACTACTACCAACTTGATAAGGCACTTTCTTTAAGGATGTATTACAAACATTGTGCCAACGTTGGGCCAACATACTACTACCAACTTGATAAGACTCGTTCTGTAAGGGTGAATTAGAAACAATGGGCCAACGTTGGGCCAACATAATACTACCAACTTGATAAGGCACTTTCTTTAAGGATGTATTACAAACATTGTGCCAACGTTGGGCCAACATACTACTACAAACTTGATAAGGCACTTTCTTTAAGGGTGTATTACAAACAATGGGCCAACGTTGGGCCAACATACTACTACCAACTTGTAAATACACTTTCTTTAAGGGTGTATTATAAACATTGGTCCAACGTTGGGCCAACGCCATGATCCTTCCTTCTTTGGAAACTAAAGTGAATGGAAGTTGCTTACGTTGGACCAACAATGGGCCAGCATAGGAATTCCGTCATGGTCGAGAAGGTTGACTTGGTAATATTGGTCTAACGTTGGCCCAACGTTGTTCCCCCAACGCCAACCATACAACCTTTAACAAATGTTGGCCCAACATAGTCATGCTATCTGGGATCAAGGTTATAAGTCTATTTAACAAATACAAATTTCGAGCAAAGCAAACACAGACTACTAAGACCTGGCCCTGGGATCATGAAGCATCTTAAGCTTAAGTCAAAATTTGCCTTAGATGCTGAATTTTTTTAGAGGTCAAGCAGCCTTAAATGAAAATGCCTTCCGATTTTGTATCTTCAGTCTGCTGTTGCATGCAAATTATGAGTTTCCTTTAACAAATTTTAAAGATTTTATAGATAATTGAAATTTTGACTTAAGTCTAAGTCTGTTTCATGATCCCGGAGCCAGTAGAGGTAGTTTCCATAGATGAGAAATCACTTTTTACGACGAGTCAAATCCACCGTGTGCTCCTCGTCATTATTCAGTCGAAGCAAAAATGCAGATAATAACTTAAACATTAGTCAGCATTCGACTTAATAATTGATTGTATATGATGTACATGTACAAGACGTATCGACCGTAGAATCTGAAAAGTGTTGACTTTAAGCAAAACTGTCAGCAACCATGTTTCTCCAACTTGTATGTCAATAGCTTGATTTTTTTTTACAAGTTGTTTGTAAGTAAAGCAAGAGCATTCGTATTGAATCAAATTGGAGACATTTACGCCATGCCCAGCTGGTTGCAAGGGTATAAAACTATTATGTGACATAAATAAGAGTTGACGATAGAAATTAAAGTTAAAACCAAAGCCATCATTTTTATTATAAAAGTGTGTTGAAAGATTACAATCAACGTCTTTTTTCTAGTATTATCTAAGTATAATTTTTTTTTTAGATTTTATGGTGTCTCTTATTTTGGGTTCGAATAAACACAGGAATGAAAATGTTTGTTGTTAATTAATAAATCCTAGCCTTGTGGTTATATCTAAATATTATATTGAAGGCAACGCGTACGACAGAGAACTCCTTCTTTTCATGACAAGTTTGAAAATAAATTTTGTTTATGAATACATACAATTAAAGGGTCTGCTCATAAATTGGGTTGAAAGGGAAATACAAAAGATCTATAGAAGACTTGATATACAAGTACATTATGAATATATATGTGAATTTGATAAATATTTATTAGCCAAGGAAAATGAGAAACACATTTTTCTCAGTTTGTCCTACATCAAGGAAAAACGTGTTCAAAATACTCGACGTACATACATGTATTAACTATATGCATATTTTATTATTAAAAAGAAGGTAAGCTTATAACCTACGGCAATTTTATTCTCTTGATACTGGTTGTTATACAAAAAATTGTACATGTAACGAACATTTTAACATTGTTCTTTGATATTGATGCAATGTTATTAAATTGTTAAGTAAATATTAATCTAAATCCTTGCAGAATTGTTCCTATAAACGTTCATGCATATAAAAATATTTTGAATGAAGAAAGACAATCATTTCAGAAAGCAGGACAAACTTTGGCAATTCAACCTACTGCCAACTGTTCCGATTCAAAAATGAGCTGTTTCTATGACACACGTCTGCATAGGGGAATGTTGACTTGGAAGAAAGACGGGATGTTGGATACATGTAGCAAGCCGCTACATATACAACCGGTGATTGAATATTTTATCTAACTTTTTAAAGTTCGCTTATCTTTTTGCGCTTACATCAAATTCTGTTTTACGCCATGCAATGATGCACAGGTCTAAAAAGTATGTATATAATCATTAAACGACTAAAAATTTCTATGTCTTAGTATCATGAGTATGGTCTTAGCTAATCAAAGATATGGTAAGACAGAAGTAATGGAGAACTTAAAATCAAATATTGTTTTGGTGGAAAAGTGAAATTAAAATAATAAAAAACATAATGATAAAAATGCAGTTTTCTATGGCATTTAAAGAGTTCTATAAGACAAGTTAAGTAAAAAATCCTTATTTAATTGTCCCAAGACAACATGGACAACTTTGACTTAAAATACATTGAGATATAGAATTTTAAAGAAAACATTTTTATACATTTGTATCTTCATGGCCTGCCACCTTTTTCCTTCTTTCACCGACTTCTGCATTCATATATATATATATATATATATATATATATATATATATATATATATATATATATATATATATATATATATATATATATATATATATATATATATATATATATATATATATATATATATATATATATATATATATATATATATATATATATATATATATATATATATATATATATATATATATATATATATATATATATATATATATATAAAATAAATGTTGATCTAATGTTAGTTTTTCTTCGATGATTGTCGACCTGTCTTTCTGTTATACCTGACTTACTTTTTTAGATTTCGATAGAACAAAATTTGCTATAAAATAACATGAATAATAATATGTGTAATATTTGTAGGGGCATTATCCAGTCCTCAGTTATAGAAGTAACGCAATAACCTTTTCAGAAGATACTAGATGTGTAGGAATTCGAGAGTGTCCTGATAAAGAGTATAATTCTAGTGAACCTAGTATGTTTATCTTAAATCATTCCAAACATTTCAATTTCAAGCACAAAAGTGCAGCATTAAAATTTTACTCTAAAAATTTAAATATCATATAATAACCATACAAAAATATTGTAACCATGTACATGAACTACTATATGTCCTACACTCTATCTTCTTTCTTAAGTTATTATTAATGATTATTATTGTTTTAAATACATTTTTGCATATCTAGCAGTAGTAGTAGTAGAAGAAATATTTGGACTTTTCTTATATGTTTATAAGAACTGCATGAACGTCTTATTAACAAAAAATCTAAATAAATCTATGATTTTATAATAATCAACTTATTAAAATTAAACAGCTTATGACGTTTATCATTGTGCTTTTAAGCTCAAACATATTTTTTGGATTTTTCAGACCTGAATTACACACTTTTTGATAAGGGAATTCAAGTCTGGGAAAGGGACTGTAACAGGTTTGGAATAAGATATTTATATAGATGATACTTATCATTTCGAAGAAAAAGCATTTAATTTAATTCATGACTTTGAAAAACCTGCATATGATAATAATGTTTAGTTCAATATTTTTTTTCCTTTCGTTCCATGTTCTTAACTTTATACTAATATAAGCATATTTTTAAGATGTGACAACTACTGGAGTAAAAGCTCTGTATCTGAGCAGCTTCCTTTTTTTTGAAACATTTTATGTTACATTAATTTTGTTATCCATATGGCTTTAAAATAATTAACTTAAACATGAAAAAGTTCTGGAGACGTGAAACAATACAAAAACGTTGTTTTTAAATCTTTAATCTAGCCGGAAGGGTTGCCCAACACGTCAAATACATATAAAGAATTTAAATTTAACCTTATATTGCATTATAGAGAAGACATCGCTAAATGTTTATAGATATACACTACAGTTGGACATTGGTATCTTAAACACTGATATTTCAAATGCCCTGGATACCTCAAAGTGGATAGGTAGTCCCAATACTTTTTTTATATTTTTTAACGAGATTTGAATGTACACAAATGATAATCAATAAGATTTAATTTGAGCCACATACTGAAAAACCTGGTGAATTTAGCTAGTGTGCCTCGTAAAGCGTTTGTCATGATTAGTAATCTTTCAGTTTACTGGCTAAGATAGTGAGTTTTGAAGCGGGGTCGTATAGATACTTACGTACATAGTGAGAGGTACTTTTCAATTCTAGATTTAATAATATTATCTAGTAAATATACCCAATACCTAGTAAAACTTCTTTTAAGGTAGTGATTGAATGGACAATAAATTTACTAGTCTCCTTAATTAGTGACTTTAACTAGCTGTTTTTTACAGTGCATTGAAATCAACTTTCAGTTTCCTTTTGTTCTTTTTCAGTGCTGTCAACAACAGTGGAAGAAGCCTTGGTGATGCATCAAAGAACACTCTATTCTCCTTCTTAGTCTTCTGTATTTTTTTTAAATTTATGTTTTAATAAACAAACTACATGTGTCTCTTTGTTCAGAATTTCATGTGTGAAAAAAAGAATTATAGATTACACAGTCAGTACTAGTATGTACCGGTCCCTGCTGACAATTCTTTAAAATCAGTTTTGAATATTTTTAATATTTTTACAACCAGAATTGATTTGAGTTGCCATTTCTATATTGGATTCCGATCTTCATAAAAATCGTTCATTTATAGAAAGATACATAGCGGGTTCCAGTAAATGTTCTTCCAATATAACCCCCGTTAATTTTAAAGTTTTCTCCTTACTTAAATATGAATAGCAATGAAAAGAATCATCAAAATTACTTGCAGCAATATATTAGGAGGTGGTGTAAATTCGATGTGGATACTTAATATTTCCATGGAACTTTTGGAAAAATTGAAATTCTGTGAAATCACGAAATTTTAATGGGGATTAATCTTCATTGTTTTCGAGGTGTGAAGAGACCCACGAATTCATGTCCATCACGCAATGTGAAATGTTACATGCATAACTGTTCAACAATTCTTCATCCACGAATTAATTTTATTTAAAATTCCCATAAACAAAGAGTTTTACTCGATCAACCACGAAAATTTTACAGTACAGAATTTACAATAACCAAATTTCACTAAAATCAACATCGTTAAAAACTTTTGACTTTTGAACTCTATTTACGACCATTCTCCGTGATCAATTTTATTCCAGGCTTTTTAATATTGACGGTTACTTTTTGAATAAAAACGGAACGTTAATTTACTCACCTTGTCACAAGTCATTTGCAAAATTATTTTGTTAAAGAAAACATTCTCATTGTATCTGATTGTACAAACAAGTACTCTTAAGTTGATATAAAAAAAGATGGTAAAGTTTCTGAGTAGAAATACAGTATCTGTGGTTTTTGGAGACCAGGCCTGGGGGCCATAAAACTGAGATGAGCTCACTTTTGATCTCAATCTCACTTTTCCACTATATATTCCTTAGAAAAAAGTGAGACTGAGATCAAAAGTGAGCTTGTGTAAGTTTTATGGCCCCCAGGCCAGGTTTTCCAGCAACCTATTGAAGTTCCAATGGGTACTTTTGTATAAAAAAAAAATTTATGTGAATCAGAAGTTGTCCAAAATCTTAAACGAAAGAAAAAAAACTTGCCGAGACCTTCAAGTCAACATTCAGATATTCATGTATCGACGACTTATTGTCAATTTACAATGATTATTTCCATTTTTATGTTGATACAATACATATTCCAGTTAGCTTGAAATAAAAGATACCACAGGCTCTGACATATCTGTTTTACGAGGGCTGTTCAATAAATAATGTCCTGAATTATATGACATAAATTACAGATATCATATGACATTAAACTTGACTTTCTCTCTTTATTGAATCTTTCATAAATTTATAACAGTTTATGTGACCACTTTTCATCAAATAGTTTCATCGTGAGAAGCTGAGAAACAAGGGCTTTTCGAGACACTGCATTATAAATGAATGGTAAAGAATCAGTAAAATAGAGTGAAAATAAAAGCTTCATTATAGCTGCCCTAAAACTTGTTAAAAATCCCAAAGAAATATTCACTGAAATATGTGACATTTACAACAACCAATGCCTGTTTTATAGACAAAAGAGCAGGTGGTTTTCAATGTTAAAAAATTATATAATGGGTATCAAAAATGGGTACCCTCCTTACCAACAAAAATTATAACAACTTATGTACTGGTCGCCAAATTTCAACAAATAATTTATTTGATGATGTATGATTGACTTTAAGACACATAGGAAATTTGATAAACATCATAACGGGAGTAGTTTACACTGTTTTTAAGAAAAGTTTGACGGAAAAAAGCTTGGTACTCAAAAGTCATCCTATATTTTGAAAAATGAGTGAAAACGACATCGTATACAAAATTCTTAACAATTATTTTAAAATATCTGTAATTGTAGTTATCAACCTTTGTTTTATTTTCAAAAACGATATTGGAACATGAATCTATTGCTTAAAACCCTCAAAACAAAATTTGCCATAAGATGTACTTGATAAAAACGGCGAATGTCTGACAAGAGCACAGGTATGTAAGAGCACAAAGACAGATTTATATGTAATTTTCTTAAAAATGTGTGGTGTTGTTGTTCAAATACGTATTCGGAGAGACAGTTTAATTTATGGAGGAGTCTAGAAAGCAATTTTTTTGCTAAAACATCGAGAGGTATTATAGAGGAACGACCAGAATCAGGAATCCGCTACATTGAATTTCTTCAAAACAGCGTCCAAACCCGCATGCCCTGAAGAGTAAAGGGGTTTTCGGGATAAACAGAAAGTTAATGTTTTTTCGCATTAACAATATTCGCCAGATCTTTGACCTTTTCACTTGTTTCTATTTCCAAACTTGAAAAAAAAACAACTTTCAGAGGGAAGAAACAAGCCCGGGAAATCTTTGGATCTGCCATTTTCCAGTATACTAAGGATCAAACCCAAAAATGAGTTCTAAAAACAATCAGAAATGGGATAAAAAATGTTACGGACATGTATTTTACTTAAAAGAGATTCGTTAATAAAATCATGAAGACTAAATCATTGAAAAGCGTCTTTTCCTTCCTTCTGAGCACCGAGGACATTATTTATTGAACAGCTCTCGTATATTTTGGATAACTTACTTAAAAAAGACGTTAATGGTAATTTAAAAAACACGCTATATAATAAACGTGATGAAAAACTTTTCTATCGTCCACTCCCCTTACTTATGCAGCACTAAATTAATATTTGTCACCTGTATACAGGGTTTATACAGTTTCTCTCAGAATTTGCTCTACGTACATGAATTAACAATTTCAAAAACGAGGTAAGATTGATAAATTGCTCAAACAAGTATATTATCAGTCTCCTTTTTTAAAAGTCATCTTTTCCTTAGTTCTACGGTTGATAATGACCTTGTCAGCATATACAATATATCATTGTCAAAGGCTGACTATATTTTTTCATAATAATTGTATGTTAGGCTATTATATACTAGTACCTACTGAATTTTTGACAGATTTTTGTCATGTTCTGATCATGACAAGAAGCACACGGCGGGTGTTACCTGTTGGCATGCGATGCTCACTCCTCCATAAAGGATGGCACCTGATCTCACTTCTGATGTTTCGGAATTCCTGTGATTGCTCTGCTCCTATTTTGTATTGTTCGATAGATTTTTGAGCTTGAATATTTTTTCGGTATCTTTAATATCAATGAACAGAAAAAAGAGACAAGAAATAGAGAATATTTCTTCAAAAGAGCTCTGTCCTAATGTCAGAATACTTAATACACTGTACTAACAACGAAATCCCGGTCTTTAATTTCACATTAATGAGTCAATGTTGCTTAGTATAACCATGAACTTTGATTATCTTCCTAATATCCCAGGGGCAAAAAAAACTATTTTAGAAATGCATTTTTAAAACAAAAACTTAACAGAACCCAGCCTAATTCCAGAACCTCTAATTCTAAGGCCATAAAAATTTCTCAATTTTTGACGAAGCAACCTTGCTAAGCAATACTGTGCACTTTGTCTGCTAAATATACAGAGGAAGAGGATGTGCTTTTTAAATATCTACAAGCAGATAAGTTTTTCAAAGAATTTCAAATCATGAATTATTATACTTCTGTTAAAATGTTTCCTCTATATAAAGTTCAGAAGGTAAAATAACTATCCTTTATAGTCCATGCATAGCAAAGCTATACCTCGGGGTATAGTTTTTGCTATCCACCCTCGGAAAAGATTATTCTTGAAGAATTATTTTACTCCAAAAAATTCAAACCTCAGAAATTATATTATACATCAGTATAATAAAACGCTTATCCACTGGTTGTGAGTGGGATAGCTCTTTTATCAAACTTGCAACAGAGAACTATTCCCCTAGGGCTTGCCCGAGGGAAATAGTTCCTGTCAAGAGTCTACCAGTGGGTAAGTGTATACTATACAAATCCATCCTTACACCTATGTTATGATTATGTGTTATAAGGGTTTCTAAATGATAAATTATTAATTATGAATATATTTTTATATAATTGTTTATTACTTTTCGGTCTTGTTTGACATCTGTAGTTGAAAGTTAATTGTTTTCAATTGATGTTTAGGAAAGGCATTTTTGCACATGTTACATGTACCAATATCTAATTCTTGACATCTCTTTCCTGCCTCACGATATCAATGTCATTTACTCATACTTGTTATCAACTTTATGGTTAGATCTTAGGATCGTGTTCTTTGAATTTGTTATGCTTAGCTCTACCTAATTTCAGTGTTGTAAATTTATGTCATACGGATTCCTCCTGTTCTTGCAATTTTCTATCCTTAATTTAATTGGCTGGTCAGTACGAAAGTGGGCGGAGTTATCAAAGATAAGATGTGAGTGAGTTTGTATGCGAGTCATTTTTGGACCATTTCTTTTTTAAATTCAGTTTATTTTTGGACAATTCTTTGTAAAATAGTTTGTTTCACTTTAAGGAAAATTCTTTGTAAAATTCAGTGTGTTCCATCTACGAAATTTGTTCTAAATTGTATTTTTGAAATTCATATTTTTGGACTTATAATAAATTCTAAACTTTAAAAACCGACTTATCAATTGATAATTTATAACACCTGAATCCCTGATACAAGGTCAAATATTGAAATTCAATCAGCAATAAAATTACAGTAAAACTCGTTTAGTGTGAAACAGATATAACCAATTCACAAAGATAGCGAAATTATCATGGATCCCCAGCTATGTGAATTTAACGAATTCCTAACACGGATTTAACAAATCAAGGATATAGCAAAGTAATTTTAATATAGGTCCCAGTGACTTTGCTATAACCGAGTTATACTGTACCCTGTACCAAGTATGCGTCAAAAGTAATCAACATTTTTTATGAGATTTTTTTATTTCTTTTGATAAAGAGTAAGCAAAATCAATTATTTCATGTAACCATATTAAGATGACTTCAAAACAAATAGTTTGAAACAAATCTTTATTCATGCATTATGTTGGTAAAA